GGGGGGGGGGAGGTGTGAATGGCCACCGCCCTCCCCAGGAGGCCGGGTCTGATCCTGGCAGCTCCCGTCTGCTGAGCCACCAGGCTCCTCAACAGTCGCTGTGTCCATGAGCAGGTTCAGTGGGAGAGGAGACCCAAACCTTGCATGCCCAGCGGGGCCTTCCAGACACCCGCCTGCCACACGCGCACAGAATATCGGCCCCGCCGGTGCAGAGCCGCTCCTGGCGCCCCCCGCAGGCAGCCTGCCGCTTCTGGGGGGGGCGAGTCTGTCAGCTTTCCAGTCCTGGGGAGGCTGCTTGGCCTGGCCTGCCGGCCTCCGGGGGGCCCTGATGAAGCGGCACCCCCTTAAGCAGCGTCGGAGAAGGAGTGCCACAAGGTGTGGCCCCAGTGGTGGGAGACGATAACGGGGGGGCGCTTGGGGATCCAGCCACATCCTTGGTGGAGGGACTGATGCTTCGGGGGGGAGGCACCTCGCTTCCTGTAACGAGAAGAGCTGGTGAAGAGCCCGGAGGGGAGCCCGGGGGGGGGGGGCAGGCCGCTGAGAGCCGCAGCAGTGGAGTGGAAGAGGACCGAGAGAAGGGTGCGCAGCGCCCCAATACCGACCCTGGGGATCCGGGCACTGCACCCCCTCCAGCAGGCTCTCTGTGCTGGCCGAAGCCTCGGAGTCGAGATCGGAGCCTCGGTGGTCCAGCTCCGGCAGCCGGTAGGTGATCTCTTCCCTACATCGGAGACGGGGAGAAAGGGGAACTGGACTGGCTTCCACAGCGCAGTCCGATGCCCACGGAAGAAAGGGACCTGCTCGACACACCACTGTGCCTGCGGAGCCGCAAGGGTTCTGGGAACCTACCTCCGTGCCGACCAGCCCTGTCCCCCACCTTCCCCTTTGGCTTCGTTGGACCACATTTCCCAGCATGCCCCAAGACAGCAGCCTCCCTGTCTGAGGTCCCTGGGTGCCATAAGGGCTCCGTCAAGGAGCAGAGACGCCTCACATCCGAACCCCAGGAGGCCTTCAGCCATGGCCATGAGCTCTCCAGAAGGGGACACTAGTGTCACGGGAGGGGTGGGCCTGGGTCCGGGCCCCTCCTGGCACTCAAAGGAGGGGGGTGGCTCAGGACAGGCCAGTCCCATCCTCCCTCTGCAGCAGGGGCTGGGCAGGGCGTCCCAGCAGGCTCATCCGCCCCGGAAACACACTTGGGTCTGGAGGGGCTGTGGTCACGCTCTGTTCCCACGGGGGCCAGCCGTGGGACCTGGCACTCACTTCTCCTCCTTGATCGACTGGATGTGTTCCATCAGCAGCTCCTTCTCCCGGCTGTCCGGTTCCTCCTCTTCAGGCAGGGCGCCCAGCCTGGCTGCTGTGCCTCCGTCTGCATCTGCCCCCTGGGGGTCCTTGGCCTGCAAGGCAGAGTGAGGGGAGGCGGCGGCGGTCAGCCTCTCAGCCCGACAGGAGGCGAGCGGCCACCCGGTGCTCATGAGTGGCCCCCGGCTGGCCCGGTTCATTCCCCGTTCTGAGCTGCAATGCATCACGAAGCAGTCTCTGCTCGGGGTGCCAAATTCCAACGCTCAGAGGGCTGGGGGGCAGTGGCGGGCAGGTGTGGCACCAGGACCAGGCCTGAGCATCCCCTGCGACACACGAGACCGAGTCTTCCCCACAGGGCTGCTGCGAGGGGCAACCACAGAGGACCGCAAGGGGCTCTCAGCCGCCAAGCATCCCACAAATTCTTTTTGCCTCTCCTGGCGGGCTCAATGTCCGCCTCGTGCATTTTGCGTTCTGCGGATGGGAGAATTTTGTCGCTCGAGGTTGCTTCTGAGCATGTGCAAAGGAATGTCGCTCCCCACTGAGCAATCCCAAGCCAACCAGATGTCCCTTGACAGCAATTACAAGGCAGAGATACGTGCAAGCCCAACACATCGGGGGTTAGTGTGAACGGCTCTCCCGCAAGCAACAGGCAGGCCCGGTGTTCCGAAGTGAAGCCGTGACGAATGCGGGTCTTGCAGGGTGCTATCTGGGCTGCGCTGAGGCATGCGATTTTCGGGGTGAGGGTGCGGAAGGCGCAACTGGGGGTCATTTCGAAAAGCTGCCCTTTGGGCCCTCGGCCAAGGATGAGAGAGAGAGAGAGAGAGAGAGAGAGACTGGGTGCTGTCGTGGGTTAGAGGGTGGGGTGGGGCAGCAGTCCATGCACCAGGTCTTCCACCTACCCGGGCTCCCTCGCGGGGAGAAGAAAACCCAAGTTTTACTGGACACAGCTGGAGAGAAGGAGACACACACGAAGGGCACGTTCAGAGAGTTGCGCCTCGCTTCCCCCACTCTCCTCTCCTTGGGTATGCGTGGAAGGCATAAAAGGCGCCGCACGGGGGGCGCCCCCCGCCCCCAGGCCAGGAAGGGCGCATCCAGGGGCGTTCGACATGCCCGGCCAAGCGGCTGTGCGCATCGGGGCGAGGCAGGCGTGGGGCGGGCCTGGGCTGTGTGCGCCAAGGGGCCGGGCACCGCCGGCAGCCCCCCTTCCCTCCTGCGCCCACCGCATTCTGCCCCACACGCACGCTCCGCAGAGGGAGGCATTTCGCCCCACTGGGCGAGGAACACCCAACCGTGGGGCTCCGCTGACCGCCTCCCCTCTGGCCTGGGGCAGCACTGCGCTCCGCACTGGACTCTGGGGGCAGAGGGTTGGGTTCAGGCCGGGTCGCTGTGGCCGGCTCTTCCCCCGTTCCAGCGAGGGCCTCTTGAGGACCATCTCGTGGCCCTCCTGCTGCACGCGGGCAGGCACACCCCTCCTCCGCCGGGACGGAACGACCTCCAAAGCCCGCCCGCTCAGCCCCTGCCCTCCCGCGGGCGGGAGCCACAATGCGCAAGCGCCGAGCATGCGCAGAGCCCGAGGAGGCTTGGCGAGCACCTCGGTCCTTGCCGGTCCTCGGCCCCACCGGCTGGCGACGGAGCCCGCGGCACGCGGCTGGACGGCACTCCAGCGGACTGGGGGCGGCCCCACAAAACGGAGCCCGCTTCGGCAGCGCTGACGGGTCGCTGTCCAGCCCCACCGCAGGAGAGCTCGGCTCCTCCAGTTCCACCTCTGTTGCCCTGGGAAGACCTGTGCTGGACTCGTCCTCCAGCGTCTGGATCGCGTGCCTGTGCCTGCGTTCACTCAGAAGGGCTGGTGGCTTGCAAAGCGGCCTTTCCCGTCACCCCGCCCCGGTCCTCAGCCAGCGGGACTGCGGGGGCTGCAGCCCGGCTCTCCGATGGGCCCCCTCGGAATCCCCACATGCCCAGCCCGGCGCTCACCGTGCTCTGCCGCAGCAGCGAAAGCCGCCGGAAGGCGATGGTCTCCGCAGCCTCCAGCTGGCAGATCTCCTGCATCTTTACCTGGTACTTCCTCATCTGCTCTTTGATGATCATCTCCACACATCTGTGTCCGCCGGGGTGCGGGGAGAGAAGAGTGCCGGGGAGTGAGCTGGCGTGACAGCGGACTCGGGCTGGGATGCACGGCGGGGGCGACCGGGGGCAGGCATGCCTGGGAGGAGGGTCGGGGGAGCGGACAGAAGGTGCAAGGCGAAAGGAAGGAATCGCCCAGCAGTGGGTGCGGTGGCAGAGAGCCGGCCGACTCACATGGTCGTTTTGGAGACGTCCTTCATGCTGGTCAGGGGGTCTGAGTGGTCCGGGCAGCGCAGGAGGCAGGGCGCGAAGACGATCGCCAGGGCGTTGGGAGACATCCGGTTGACGTCTTCCACCAGGGCCACCCTGCGTGTGGGTCGGGGAAAGGGGTGCGTGTGAGCCGGCGCGCCCGGCCTGGCTGGCCGCGGGCCCGTGGGAGCCGCACTCCGACGTGCCTGAAGGGGCCGGCCGGGAGGGGGGCGCAGACTGTGTGGCGGCAGAGCCCAAGCGCCCCCCCCGCTCAGACGGCCCTTGTCCCCAGCACGGCAGCCCTGCTTGCACCTGCAGCTACGCCCCTCCCCGCAGAGGCAAGGGCACAAGCGCCCCAGGAGCACGCGGGCGCAGGGCAAGGCCACGAGGGTGGGGGGCCGCGGGGGCTCACTTGACCAGGTGGAAGATGAGGCGCTCCAGGGTGTCGTGGTGGGCCTGTGGGAGCTGCTCGAGGGTGCTGTAGATGGCAGCGAGCTGCTCCTGCTGCCCCGGGAGCTCTGAGGGGGGACGGGGAGAGATGAGCAGGGCTGGCCCCGTGTCCTCGTGCGGGGCGACCCGCTCGACCCAGCACCCCGCCCTCTGGACCCACCGGATGGCACTCTGGGACCGCTGGGGCCGGCCTTCCCTGCGAGGGGGAGACCGGCCCTTCCCTAGTTCTGCCCGCCGCTCCAAGCGCCTGAGTGGCCGGAGGGGCCGGCGGGACACTCACCCACCGCTCGGAGGAAGTCGTGGTACTGGGAGAAGGTCATGAGCGGCTCGGGCAGCTCCCTCAGCCACTGCTTAAAGATGCCCGTGATGGTGTGGATGGGGTATTTCTCCAGCTGCACTGAGTTTGGGTCTGTGGAGGAAGGGGAAGGGGAAGGCTGCAGGGCACGGTGTGTGCCGTCACGGCTGCAGAGTCTGGCACTGTGCCCACAGACCCCCTCCTGCTGCTTTCCAGGCCTCTGAACCCCACAAGTGCTCCAGACGTTTTTAACGGCAACGCCAAGGGCACCAGCCCTGCTCGAGGTGGAAAGAGCAGCCTCCCCCGCTCGCTCTGGTCCTCCCCAGCTTTGCCCTGGGCAGTGGGGCTCTCTGCTGGGGACCCTGAGCCGTCAGGCGTCCAATGAGGCCTGCGGCACGTGCCCCTGAGCGGTGGCTCCTCGGCCCCCTGAAGAAACCCCCGAGAGGCTTCCTGGCCCGCTAAGCACTCCACCTGTGCCTTGGCAGTGTTTCGGACTCTGCCCGGCTCCCGTCGGGGCTTCGGGGGCCTGCGTGTGCATTTCGCACGGATATTCTCACTGGCTCCTCCTCCGGTCTGTTTGGGCAGCCGGGCTGAGCATCCCCATGCCAAGGAGGAACTGGGCCACAGGCGCCACTGCGAGCCCAGACGAGCCCCAGAGCAGCCCAGGCAGGAGGCAGGAGGGGGCGCCGCCCGCCCGGGGGAACCGGCTCGACGGAGGCGACCGCCCGAGTGGGGTCCTGCCCCTACCTGCCTGCAGCAACTGCTTCAGCTCTTTCATGCGGTTGGCCGAGCCCGACTTCCGGTAGATGCCTTCCGTGTAGAGGCCGTGCATCTCGACGTGCTCCAGCAGCTTCTCCATGACCACGGGGACCGAGTCCTTCTCGCCGGTCAACGCGCTGACGCACACCCCGAAGTGGCGGGGCCCAGCGCCCTGGTCGCCCTAGGGCCAGGAGAGGCGGAGCAACGTTACCGGAGGCGCGTGGCGGGACGCCCGGGGTGCGGGCCGCAGAGGGCCGCTTGCCCGGCACTGCGGGGCAGGCGAGCGGGTGTGCCTTCGCAGGGGAGCCGGCTGGCCAGGGCCTCCTCCCGGGCTGCCTGCTCACAGGGGCGTCCTGCACAGGATGGCGCCTTTGCTGGCACGGGGGCACTTGCCAAGAGGCCACCTGGCCCCCTGCTCCTGCTGTGCCGGGAGATCCTGGTCCCACGGCTGTGCTGCCTTGCGGGGGGGCCGACACGCAACAGGGCACAGGCCGCTGCCTGTGAGGCTGGCAGCCACGATCCAGTGTCGCCTGCAGGAGCCGGGCAGTGCAGAAGCAGGACGAGTCCTGCTGGCACCTTCTGGCAGGATTCCCAGGCATGCCATCTTGGCTGGACTGACGGCTCAGGCTCAGGGAAGGCGCGGTGTGGGGGGGGCAGGGGAGGGGGGGGAGGGGGGGAGCTGGCCGCGTCCAGCAGGGCTGACAGCTCGGGCGGGCCCTGATAGCGGGGCGGTTGTTGAGACGGCCTCGGCTCCAGCTGCAGTCCAAGGCGCTGCATACCTGCCGAGCCTGCGGGGAAGAGATTATTCCAAGGGCAGCCTCATCAACCCACCGTGGGAATGAAGAGGAGCAACCACATCCTGTGGGGGGGGGGGGGGGGGGATCTAGAGATGGAGGGTCACTCGGAAGGAGAACTCCAGCTCCCTCCAGGGGCAGAACCAGCAGTCCGCCTTCACGGTCGAGGGGTGGCCCGGCTGGGAACTCGGAGGGGGAGTGCAGCCCTGCCCGTTCCCACGGAGCCCCTCCTTCCCAAGACAGGCTCAGGAGGACTAAAAAGAGCAAAGCTTGGGGGGGGGGGGGCTGAGAGGGCTCCACAGTTTGCTCTGCGTGTGCTCAGAGACAAGTAAAATAAAGACATTTGGTCAGAAGCGGTGGCGAGTCTGTTTCTGCTCGGGGGGAGCACCTGCTCACAACATGCTGGGAGGGAGAACAGGCTGGACAAGGGTCTGCTGAGCACACTCAGAATGCAGGGAGCAGCCTCAACCTGGCCAGCCCTGCAGTGCGGGCATGGACTGGCGGCAGCGGCTCTCCCTCCCATCCGTTCCAGGTGGCTTGCTGGGGACTCGGCTGGGACGGCCACTGCTCCTCCAGGGGCCTGCTGGGCATACAAGCTGAATACCGCCAAGCCCTGGGCCAGGTGTGCTGAGGACAGCGGGAAGCAGGTGGGCCTCGGAGGGAGAGAGGTTCTCATTTTAAAAGACCAGCCCTCCCCATTCTCTCCAAGGGCCAGGCCACCAAGCCATGAGCCCAGGCAGAGGCTCCCCACCCCCACTGCGGCGTGTCCAAGCTGTCCTGTGCCGGAAGCAGAAGGCTGGGCCACCGCCGTGGGTTCTCCACGCATCTCCAGAGGGCAACGCCCTGGGGGGCACCAGCCTGGGGGCGCCTGTTCCAGCACAGCGACTGCATGGGCCACGGCAAAAGCCGGCCTCTCTGCACAGGCACCAAGATCGGCTCTGCCTACCTTCCTGGCTGGCGAGGACACGCATCCGCTCTGGACCTTGGGCAGGCACTTCCTGTGGCAGGTCAGCTTACAGACTAAGTGCGCAGGGGGCAGAAACAAACAGGAAGGCCCATTAAAGTCTCTGTCTGTCTGTCCACACACACATTCAGGAGGCACTGCCTGGCCCAGACAGAGCCAGGACAGGTAGCGATTAAGACGACGGGAAACTCTGGGAGATGCTGGAGAGCGACAACAGAGCCTGAAAACACTGCCGTGAGGCCGATGCCCGAGCAGGACAGAGGTGTGAGCAAATTTAGAAGGGGTCTGTGTGGACCAGAAAGGGTTTTGGCAGCCCGCCAGTCTGAAGAAGGCCCTGGGGACGGCAAATTCTGGGCGGGTTCTCAGAGAAGGTGCCGGTCTTCCAGACAACCTGGCCCCAAGCGGCTCGGGCTGTGCGGCGAAGTGCCAGCGCTGAGGCTTGCCTGCACACGGGGATGGTGACAGAGAGCCGGGCCAGGTCTCGGCAAGCTGGTGGAGATTCTGGGGCACCGACACCACAATGCAATTAAATGAGGTGCACAGCCCAACGCAACGCCTTCGGCCACCTCCTCTGCACAGGCTGCCACACCTCCCTCGAAAAGGGTCTTGCTTGAAAATCTCGCCCCCTCCGGCAGGGGGAGCCTCTGTCCACCACAGACACGGAGGACCCACCGGGCGACCCGTGGTCAGCGGGCAGGGAGGGCATCATCCGGAGACGCCAGGTGGCCGGGCAGGCTCGGCCAGGCTGAGGCGCCGCCGTCCAGCCCTTGGGACCTGCGCTGCCCCTGGATGGGTGGCGGGCTGCTCCAGAGGGGGCCGCGCCGTTCGAGAGCCCCCCACCTCCTCACTTACTGCGGCACAGGCACGCCTTCTCCATGGGCCAGATGTAGGAGGGGCACTGCTCGCAGGACTGGAGGATGTTCACCTGGTAGCTCACGAACACGTGGCCATTGAATTCCTCAATCTGGAAATCATTGGAAGTTTTATTTATTACACGTGTACCGCGCTTTCTGCTTCCCAGCTTCTGAAGCTCTCTAAGTGGCCCACAAGCACTCAAAACATAAATACGTCATAGAAAAATAAATTTATTTATTTTTATGTTTGTTAATTTATATTGTTTATTTATTTTATTTATATTTCGATTTGTATCCTGCCTTTTTCCTACAAAGGGCTCAAGGCAGCTGACATCATTCTCCTCCTCCATCTCATCCCCACAACAACAACCCTGTGAGGTAGGTTGGGCTGAGAGTCTGTGACTGGCCCAAAGTCCCCCAGTTGGCCCCATGGCTGAGTGGGGACTCGAACCCAGATCCTCTGAGTCCCAGTCCTATGCTCTTAGCCACTACACCACACTGGCTCTTGTTAATTTATATTATTCTATTTTGAAGTTTGTTTATGGTTGTGAGCCGCCCCGAGGCTTCGGAGAATGGAGCGGCATAGAAGTCTCCTAAATAAATAAATAAATAAATAAATAAAATAGTTAAGACAGTATGAAAGTGGAACCTAGAGTAAAACGATCATTTTTGAAGGCTCGCCAGTCCTCCACAGGCAGAGGGAGCACCCACAGGTTTGATTTCCCCGCAGGAAGCAGGACGCCCTGCTTCACTTCCACTGCAAGCCTGCAGCAGATTCCCTTCCCTACGTAACAAAAGTTCTGCTGTGATCTGTAGGTTGTGCTTTGGGGTCCCAGCCTGATGGTCTCTTATAGAAACAAAACGAGCCGGAAGGGGTCTCCAGGGCCATCTAGTCTGACCCCAGGTCCATTCGGCTCTGCTCAGGCAAACAAAGAAACAAAACGAGCCGGAAGGGGTCTCCAGGGCCATCTAGTCTGACCCCAGGTCCATTCGGCTCTGCTCAGGCAAACAAAGAAACAAAACGAGCCGGAAGGGGTCTCCAGGGCCATCTAGTCTGACCCCAGGTCCATTCGGCTCTGCTCAGGCAAACAAACAAAACGAGCCAGAAGGGGTCTCCAGGGCCATCTAGTCTGACCCCAGGTCCATTTGGCTCTGCTCAGGCAAACAAAGAAACAAAACGAGCCGGAAGGGGCCTCCAGGGCCATCTAGTCTGACCCCAGGTCCATTCGGCTCTGCTCAGGCAAACAGAGAAGCAAAACGAGGCAGAAGGAGCCTCCAGGGCCATCTAGTCTGACCCCAGGTCCATTCGGCTCTGCTCAGGGAAACAAAACGAGCCAGAAGGGGCCTCCAGGGCCATCTAGTCTGACCCCAGGTCCATTCGGCTCTGCTCAGGGAAACAAAGAAACAAAATGAGCCGGAAGGGGCCTCCAGGGCCATCTAGTCTGACCCCGGCTCCAGCTGGCTCTGCTCATGCAATCCCCAAAGTGTGGTTGACCAAACTTCCCTTGCACTCCCTCACTGACGAGGCCCCCCAACCTTCCCTGGAGGTGACGGCAATTAACAAAAGCAATCCTTGTTTTTAAGAGGGGTTTCTTGTGTCTGGGGAGAGAGAGAGGCGGAGAACGGACACTGGTTCCTCAGTGTCAGGTGCTAGGCGTGGGTGGTGGGGAACTGGGGCTGGCGTGCCGGGGCCAGGCATGAGACAGGGGCAGCCCCACAGCAGGCTCCATGGGCCGGAAGCGAGAGGCCGCCTGTTGGGGGCCAGCGTCACAGCCCGCAAGCATGGTCAAGGATCACCCCCAAAGGCAGAGTCCAAAGCCCTCGCCGCCGACAGCCAGGTGGCAGGGGACAGGCAGATTCGAGAGCAGAGGGTGGCGGGGAGGCCGGAGGGCGGGTACAGGCCGGTGGGATCAGGGTCAGAGGGCAGCCTGCCCCGACTCACCACGCGCTCCTGCTTCCGCTTCGTCTTCTGAGCCTTGCTTTGCTGTGGGGGAAAGGAAGAAACGCGCAAAGCTGAGCGCCACAGATGGCCCTCTGCCCACCCCGCCCTCTTCCAGGTACGCAGGCTCCAATCCTGACCGCCAAGCCCTGTAATTGCTGCACCGTGGAAATGGGGGCTGAAAGGGCCACTCCCTCACAGCCTAGTTCTGCCCAAAGTGCCAAAATCCCATGGATCTGAGGTGTACGTGAAACGGTGCCGGGTGCTTCCTCCCAGGAGCGATCGACGGACCCCAGTGGTGCATTCAGGACCGAAACAGAGTGGGCTTGGCCAAGGCAGCCATGCAAAGCTGCAGCCCCCTTCCTGAGCGGTCCTGGGGAAGCCCCCTCCTCAACACCCACGTTTTCCAGGGAACGGGCCCGGGCGTGGGGAGAAGGCAAACCTTGGACCGCTCCGGCTCTTCCTTCTTGGCATAGCTGCTGGCAAACTCATCCAGGAGCGACCGGAAGAGATTCAGGACGGGCCGCAAGTCCTTCTCCTCTTTCTGCTTGGCCATATTGACCACCAGGAGCTGGTAGTTCTCGATCAGGTCGTGGTAGCCGACGTGGATCTGCCCGTTCTGCAAAAACCGGGCAAGACATGCAAGGGGCGCGTGGAGCACGGCCCCAGCGGCAGGTGCGCGTTGCCAGGGCTGCTCTTCCGTGCCAGGGGGCCTGCAGTGTGGACGGGGCGGGGTGGTGCTGAGGACGGCGGCCACGCGGCCTCAGGACCACGCGGCACCCGCCCCGCTCGGCACACCCGTTCACATCTCAGCGAAGACCCCACAGCCCTGCGCTCCCATCCGCAGGCAGCGTCCTGGGGCTCGACTCCTGCTCCGCGCTCGTCCCCAACCTCACACGGCCGGCCCTACGCCAGCTGCTTACCGGGGCAGAGTACATGGTCTTGAGGTTCCCCCGGAACTTCTCCGTGGCTTCGAAAAACAGGCACTCGATGGCAGACTTCTTGGAGTGAAGATCGTTTATCTGAGCCGGGAAAAGTGGCGAGACTGCAGTGCTGGCGGGACGGGACGGGACGGCGGGGCAGGGGGCAGGTGCCGCAGTGGCCCGTCCACCCCGCAGCCCTGCCCTGCCCAGCCTGGAATGCTACCAGCATCACCCGGGTGACCTCAGACGCAGGGTATCAGCTTGAGTGCCGGCCACAGTATAGCTGCACGTACCCCCGGCCCCTTTTCCTCTTGCGAGGATCCTGCAGCAGGTGGCCTAGCCTCCCACCAATCGGTTCCATTCTCAGGACGACCACCCTGTGAGGTAGGCCGGGCAGAGTCTGTGGCACCCTGAAGTCACCCAGGCCTGAGTGTGGAGCGGACCTCAGCTCTCCCAAGCAATGGCCTGCTCATTCTAACCCAAGCCGGACCACCAACAGGATCCGTGTCCCCATCAAGGGGGCTCAGCCCTCCCCAGCTGCTCTGTCCTGCCCGCCCGCTCACCTTGTTCAGGAGAAATTCATCCAGGTGCTTCAGCTCGTTGGCATTGGCGATGTCCCGGGGCGCGCGCCACCGCCCAGGTGCGGGTTTGGCTTTGCTGATCTTGAGGGTGCGGGTCCGCTTGGCCTTGCCGGCGTCTTTGCCGGCGTCTTTGGCTGGGCGCTCCTCCGCCGGCGGCCCAGAAGGGGCTGGGTGGGGGGACAGAGCAGACAGCACATGAGCTGTGGCCGCTCTCATTCCCCCCTAAGGGCAGCCCTCCTTCAGGCTGCCGCGGGCTGGGTGGCCGTGGGGCCCCCGCTTTTTCTTCTTCTGGCCGCCCACTTCTCCCCCTTGCCCTCCTTTTCCCCGGGGCAGCAACTGGGCGGGGAAAGAATCCACCCAAGGGCATGAATGGGAGGCAGCTTTTCCGCGATGCTGGCCTGCGGGAGAGGGCCCCACATACGGGGCGCAGAGGCTGCTCCCCGCAGGAGCCCTGGGAGTCGTCCCCCTGCCCTGCCCCGCTCCCCGGCCTCTCAGCGAGCGCCCCGTGAGCCCCACCTTCGGCTCTCTTTGGTGCTGCTGCGGCATCCAGAGGTAGCATGCATGAGAAGAGCGGGAAGCTCTCGCCCTCCTCCAGCACGTCCGAACTCTCTCTGGGAGGCTTTTTCTCCGGTTTCTTCCCCCAGAATTTCCGCAGGGGGCTTCTGAAGGCAGATCTGCCCAAGGAAGACACGGGGCAAGGCAATCCACTTTACTAATTTCACCATTTTCAAAACTAAATCTTAAATGAAAAGTTCTGGAAGCCAAAGCAACTGTTTTAAAAAAATGTGCTAGTTCTGAAATTATTTAAAACTTAAGTTGTGGTTTTTCCATTTTTAAGCTTAACTTCCTTTTGAAAAAGTTAATGCTTTAAAACGTTGTAAAACTTAATTTTAATACCCTTTAAGAATACATTTTACAGAGCAGAGTTTTTAAAAGCTGTGAAAAGTGTTTTTTTTTAATTGAAGATCAGCTTTCCTAACGGTTTCTCAAGCTATACCTTAAACATGTTTAATAAAAACAATGGTCGCTGAGAAGGCTCTTTTCCCAAACGTGGCCTTGGGCTGACTGGGGGCTGGAGGCAGTCGCCCCACATGATCACGCAGCTGGCCATGCTGCTGCAGGAGTGCTGCCTCACGAACTTTAAACAAGGCGGCCAAGTGCCCAGCGTGGCACCAGGCGAAAGCCGGGCAGAGCCCGGAAGAGCAAGCAGACCAGCAGGGCTCCCCACATGGCTGGGGGCCCTTCCCCACCACCGCCCCGCAGGGGGTGCCCGCCCCGCCACTGGCCTCCCCTCCAGCGGGACGCACTTGGTATCCATGTGCTGAGCAGCAGGCCAGGCAGTGCCAGCCCCATCGAGGGCAGGGGGCAGCTCCCCCGCCTTCTGCCGCGCGAGCTGCTTCGTGTGACTCTCGTCGCCCTCGGCCGCGTCTGGAGATGCCTGCGAAGCACGAGGGAGGCAAACGGTTCAAGCTCCATGTGGGGAGCGGGCAGCTGGCAAGGGCCAGGTTGCCGGAAGGCGGGTGGGGCAGGAGAGCGCAGCCGGAAGCACTGGGGTGGGGCACCTCTGGTCTGGCCCTAAGGGGCCCTTCCGCCCCACCGCTTCTCCACCTTGCCCCCTGTCACTGCGAAACGCCTTCTCAACGCCCCTGCCTGGGCTGCCCTTGGGGTGGAGGCCGGCAGGCAGTCGGGGGGAGGGGAGGGGACACCCCACTCCCCAAACACCCCCCAAAACATGCTCCCTCCTGCTGCAGCAGGGGGAAAGCAGGTCTCTGCCCAACCAGATGGTGGGTCCTCGTCCTGGGAGGACCACGGGCTCGCTCCCTGCGGAGCCTGACTCTGCCCACGGCCCTGTAGTCTTGCCTGGAGTCAGTCTGGGTCCCAGCCCTTCCCCAGAGCGTGTGCCCCACCGCTGGGCCAGCCCCTGACTGAACCACCTGGTCGTCCAGCCCCGACTCTCGACCTGGGAGGGCAGGGAGCCCTCCCCGAGCAAGCTGCAGCGCTCTGCCAGGGAGCTGTGGCTCTCGCCCTCCAGGCCAAGGCCGGCTGGACCAGACTGCCCCACTGCTCCCTGCTTCCTCCCGTGGGGTGGAGCAGGCATGGTGCTCCCTGGCCCTCCTCTGCCCTGAGCCAGCTCCACAACAGTGTGCCCGAGCCTGGCTCCCTCTCCAGAGCCTACGCACAGTACCTGACTCATGGATGCTCGAGAGGTAAAGCCGGGGAGGTGATCCAGAGAGGAAGCCAGCTCCTTCTTCCTGCAGGAGAGGAGAAAGCCGTTGAGGAGGCAGCCAGCTGTCTCCCGAAAGGGGAGGCGGGCAGCAGGCTGGCAAGGGCGGCTCTGAGTGGGGGCGGGCGGGCAGACGAGCCCCAAGGTCACGGGATGCGATTGCTGGAGGGACTGCTGGAGGAGGGAGGGAGGGAGGGAGGGAGGGAGACCTGCTGCCACCTTCCAACGTGCTCCACAAGGGGGGCCGTGGCTTTTGGCTCGTGCATCGCAGCCCCCCGGGCCAGCGTGGACGGCGGCTGCGGGCCAGCGCTGGCTGCTGCTGGGGGGCAGTGCCAGAAGGGCCGCCCGTCCACCAGCCGCTGGGCTAAAGGGGCCCGTGGGGAGGCAGAGCCTGCAGTGAACTTGGGCTCCCACTCCCACCAGGCCGGCCCTGCCTCTGGGAACCACTGGTCGCCAAAGCTCACAGCAAAGGTGGGGACGGGGACTCAGCCGAGTAGCTCCTCTCCTCCAGCGACTGGCTGTTCTGCCCGGGGCTGGCCATGCGCCGCTTCCCCTGCCAGCACTTCCGCTTGTCTCGCAGCTTGTCCTGGTCGTCCTGGTACCGCTGGATGGGGAAGGAGGAAGGGCTGCCCGGCCCCTTCGGCGCCCTCAGCTTGCTTTTGCGGGCAGGGCTGCGGAAGCTTTGGGTGGCTAGCAAGTTCTCCGGCGGGCCCAGGGCCAGCTCTGAGGGCCGCTGGGGGTACGTGAAGCTGCGGCTGCCCCGGAGCCAGGGGCTCTCTGGTCTCCCCTGCCGGCTGAGGCCTGCTTGGCCGGCCCCTTCCTCCTGCTTTGGTCCTGGGGACAGATCCGGAACTGAAGCGCCCCTCCCCAGGAGCGGGGAATCGCTGCCCGCTGCACCTCGTGCGCTCCAGGGAAGCGGCTCCTGCTCTGGGCCTCCCTTCTCCGCCAGCATCCCGGGGGACGTCCCAGCGTCCGTGCTGCAGGCCCCAGGCTGCTCCTCGAAGGTGAAGGAGACGCGCTTGTGGCTGGGCTGGCGCTCCTGACGGAGAGCTTCCTGCGCTCTCTCCTCTCGCCTCTTCTCTGCGACCATTTGATGAAACCTGGACCGAGGGGTGAGGGGAAACCACAGCTGTGCATCTGCGGAGCCCACAAGGAGGCTGCGAGGTGACAGGTGGCACCTCCCTGCCACCCTCCGCAGCCCAGGCTCCCTGCAGCGGGGGTCAGTTTGAAGCAGGGGTGCACCTTCAAAGGCAGCCCCACCCACGGCAGGAAATGGATTCAGGGCGCTGTGTTGTCCCAGCTGGCCTCTCTGGCCCACTAGCAGAACCTTTCTGAAACAAGCAGGACCACGCGGCTCATTCAAGGCCGAATGGCCCCCCAGGCTTTGCGTGGCCACAGGGAGTGCTGTGTTGATGCCAGGAAAATCACCCCCCACACACACACACACAGCTCCAGGAAAGACTTCAGCAAAACTCAAGAGGGAGCAGGAGCCCCGAGGGGGTGGCAGGCGACAGCAGCACCCCTGGGCTGGACGCGGTCCTGGGCCTTGGCCCAGCAAGGCTCTGCAAGAGCAGCTGGCTGGCGGCAGCACAGATGCCTGCGGCCCACAAGGCTGCTGTCCCACCACTGCGGAGAGCAGCCTGCCGGACTGGGTGGGCCTCTGAAGCAGCAGCCCCTCGCTCGCTCGCTCACTCACCTCTTGCGCTGCAGGTGCCCCCGAACCAGAGCCTGAAGGAGGCACACCCTGCCCCGCTGCTTCCGGAAAGACTTCTGCTCCCGGTGCCCACGCCAGACCGACTGGATGCAGACGGCAGCACGCTCTCTCTCCAGAGCCCTCCGGACACAGAAGGCGCGCCAGCAAGCCTGCAGCCAAGAGAGCATCACAGGTAGACCCTGGGGAGGGGGAGGGAGAGGGGGAGGGAGAGGGAGGGCCGAGGGGCAGGGAGCCGGCCCTGTACCTGCAGTGTGATGGCGGCCTGCCGAGCCCGGAGGAAGCGCCTCCTGTCCAGCACCATCCTCAGCCAGCTCTGCAAGGTGATGATCTTCTGGATGACTTCTCTGTGCAGAGTGTCCTGCAGGACCTGGCGCACCTCCTCCTTCATGAACACCTGGGGGACAGGGATGACACCTGGCTAGCCCCCCGATGCTTGCACCCAGACAGTGAATACACGAAGGAATGGAAGGGCACCCTGGGGGGGGGGGGGGTGACTCCCACTCCAGGAGCTGCTGGGGAGCAGTAGCCAAGAGCTCCTGCAGGGGAGAACCCTGCCACACCCTTCCTCCTCTGGCGAGGAACCCAAGGCTGCCTGCTTGGCCCCATTTTGTCGTCCAAAGACCAGCACCCCGTGAATTTAGCAAAGCTTTCAACACAGCGCCGCACGACATTCTGATAAGCAAATTAGCAAAACCTGGACTAGATGGAAACACTATTAGGTGGATCCAAAATGGGCTGCTGCATCGGACACAAGGAGTGCTCATCAATGGCTCCTTCTCAGACTGGACGGAGGCAACTGACTAGTGGGTGCCGCAGGGTTCAGCCCTGGGCCCAGTGCTCTTCAGCATCTTTATTAACGGTTTCGATGAGGAAGTACAAGGTAAGAGAGTCAACTTTGCTGATGCTACACAAGTGGGAGGAATAGCAAACACCCCAGAAGACAAATGAAGATCCAGGGCGAGATTCATGAACTTGAACGCTGGGCTGAAAGCGACAGAAGGAGATTCAAGAGGGACAAGTGCCAAGTCCTCCACCAAGGAAAGAGAAAGCGAAGGCATGGATACAAGATGGGGAATAGGTGGCTCGACAGAACTGACAAAGATCTTGGAGTAATTGTGGACAAGCGGCTAAACATACAAGGCAATGCAATTGCCAAAAGGCAAATGTGATTTTGGGATGCCTGAGTAGAAGTATCATTTCCAAATTACGAGAAGTAGTAGTTCCTCTATACTCCTCATTAGTCAGATCTCATCTGGATGCTGTGTCCAGTTCTGGGCACCAAGATCTAAGAAAGATGCAGGAAAATTAAAAAGGGTCCAGAGGAGGGCACCAAAAATGATCCAGGGTGTGGAGACACTGCCCTGTGAGGAGAGACAGAGAACCGGGCATGTTCAGCCTTGAGAAGGGAAGACTGAGGGGGACATGATATCCCCCTATAGGGACCTCAAAAACTGTCAGAGAGGAAGGCCAAGGTCTCTTCTTGCTGATGCCAGAGTGCAGGACACGGAATAAGCAGGTCAAGTTGTGACAACCCCGATTCAGGCTGGATGTCAGGAAGAGCTTCCCCACGGTCAGAGCGACAGGACAGTGGGGCCAGCTGCCTGGAGAGGGGGGGCTCTCCCAAACCAGAGGCATTCAGAAAAAACTGGGCAGCCACCTGAGTGGGGTGGTGTGACGTGGTGTCCTGCACCGGCAGGGGTTGGACTAGATGGCCTTCGTGGCCCCTTCCAGCTCTCCTACTCCGTGATCCCATGAAAGAGCCCCACAGCCTCCGGGCGGGAAGGCAGAGCCAGAATTACGGCGCTGGAGGGGATGATCTGACCGACCTTGGTCTTCCCAATTTGGAAGCTGCTGGTATCCAGCCGGAGCCTGGCCAGCAGGGCTGAGATTTCTTCCTGGGAGGCTTTGGCGTTCCTGGGCAGCAGCACCTGGAACTGGTCTACAAAATCCTGGGAAGGAAATACATGGAGAGCAGGGCCTCAGCAGAGCGCCAGGAGCCGGCCTCTTGCGCCCACCCTGTCTGGGAAACCCAGCGGTGCTCCAGCTCCTCCACCGTCAGGGAGGGGACCGTGACCGAGGGCACGACGGTGGCAAGCAACCCGTGCCACAGGGTGGCCCGCCTGCCTGCCCGCCCCCCCGGGAGCTGAGCTGAGCTGAGCTGAGCTGAGCTGAGCTGAGCTGAGGGGGCTCCTTCCCCATCCTGGGCGGGGGGCGCACAGCGTCAGGAGCCCGACGGTACCTGGAAGCTGAATTTGGCGCTGTAGCCGGACTGCCGGATCCGCACAGTCTCCAGCATGCCCGTGTACCGCAACTGCTGCAGCACCAGCTGCTCGTCAAAGAGAAGCTCTCTCTGCAATGGAAAGCGGGGCGAGGTCAGGCCCGGTCCGGGGCGGGGCAGGCGCCCAGCACGCAGATCCAGAGCAGACGCCCTGTTCCCAGGACAGCGGTGGCCACCCTCGCCGCCGCCCTACCCAGCCTGGGTGCCGAACGGGGGGCGTGGCGCCTGCAGCGGTCGATGTGCCCACAGCGGGCAGGCAGGCGGCCACAGCCCTCCGGTCAGAGGCAGCCCTGAGCAGTCGGCCAGAGCATCTCCCCCGCCCTGGTGCCCCCAGACGTTTCTGCTGCACCGCCCGACCACCGCATCTAGAGGGCCCAGGCAGCGAAGGCCAGGCGGCGCCCTGCAGCCACGGGGACCCCGCTGACCGACCGACCGACCTTCTCGGAGTTGGAGCGGATGCAGCGGATGAAGAAGGGCTCTGCTCTCCCCAGGGTCTGCAGCAGCTTGTTGAGGGACGCCTGAAATGAGTCACAGCGGGGGGCGTCAGACCCCGTCCGGGTGAGCCCTCCTGGGGCAGCCCACCCCCCACAGGGCAGGACCCCTCTGGGACGATCCGCGAGGGAGGAAGGCCCCCTCGCCGGGCACCGCGGCAGGACCCCGGGAGCCGAGCCCTGGACATGCCGCCCCCGCACCCACATGCTCCCGGGGCGGAAGCAGGCAGCCCCACGGCGGCTGCGAGGGAAGCACGCCACACTCCCGGCCCCCGGGACCGGGACCGGCACCGCTCGGGAACTGCCTGCCTCCCGCACAAGCCCGCCCATCGCCGTCGCTGCACGCCCGGCCGCCCAGCCAGAACGGGCAAGCACACAGGGAGGGCTCTTCACACAGCCCCGGGGCACACGGCAGCCTCACGAGGGCCACACCGGCCCCTCGTGGGGTGCTCCCGGGGGGTGGCGACGGCGGTCTGGGCTGGCGGGGCCGGTCCAGAACTCGCCGCCTGCCCCCTTGCCGAGCCCCAGTCGCCCTGGGGGGTCTACCGGCTGCTCCGCAGAGGAGGGGAGGCGGATGTAGGGTGCCTCCCACCGACTCCTGCCCCACTGGGCTGCCCCGCCCGAGCAGCAGCCACCCAGCCCTGCAGGAGGCGGCGCGAGTCCTGTCCTGTCAGCGCACCGGTTTCCGGTGCGGCCTGCCAGGATTTCCATGGCATGTGCGAGCCAGCTGGGCGAGGCCCGTATCCCGAAAGCGCATCCCAGCAAGCGCAACATGCCGCTCTGGCTCCGCTGCTTGGATCGCCGGGCCGTCGCTGCGGCTGCGCTGCTCCTATTTCGAGGGCCGCGTCCTTAGCCTACTTGCGTCCCCAGAAAGGGGGGCCGGCCGCACATGGGGCAGAGGGCACGCAGGCGGCGCGGGCACAGCCCTCCGACCTGGAACTGGGCGCTGATGCTGGGTGGCTTCTTCTTCTTGTGCAGGTGCAGGAGGGACTTCGTGGTCCGGTCGTGCAGTGTCATGCTCACGATGAACTTCAGGGACTTGGTGTCCAGCAGATCCTGCAGGAAAGAGAATCGGCCTCTGTTACCGGCCGCGGGCCTGTGGAGCCAGGCGAAGCCACGAGCCCGCGGCGCAGGGCAGATCTGGCAGGCCGAGCGCAAGGAGTTGTGCTCCCTGCACTGGCCTCCCGCAGCTGCTTCGCCCCGGGGGCACGGGGGGGTCAATCGGAAAGGACGGGCAGCGGGATACTCTGACGCAAAGTCGTGTGCTCTGGCAGAGCGATGGTGCCCAGCACATGAGATGCAAACAAGCCAAGGCAGCCACGTCCACGGCCCGCTAAAATGTGTATTCTGTCAGCTGCAACAGTCTCCCTGTTGGTGCTTAAAGAAGAGCAAGAGCTGCAACGTGGGTAGGGACAGTCGTTCCCGGCCACACACGGTGGCGAATGCGCTGCACCGGACGCACGAGGCCGTCCGAGTCCCTGCTCGGCCACGCAGCTGCCCGGGCCGGTCCCTCGCTCTCAGTCTAATTCCGCCTCACTGGGCTCTTGTGAGGACTACAGGGCATGGGGAAAGGCTTTGCGAGCTGCCTTCAGGGTCCTCGCCGGAGGAGGAGGCGGGACAGAAACGCAGCACAGGAGCAACTGCCTCAAGGGGATCCTCGCACTTGCCTTTGGGATGATCTGCTTCTGCTTCGAGCCTCTGCTCTTCCTGTTGAAACATTGAAAGTTACTGGAGAGAGAAAAAGGCCGGCGGGGGCTCAGCAAAGCACGTCCAGCAGCTGAGGGCAAGCAGGGCGGGTGAGGGGAAGATGGGTCGACCACACCAGAGGAGTGGGAGGAGCAAGCTGGGGTGGGGGCGAGGGGGCCGCTAAAGCCGGCAGAAGGGGGTTCGCCTGCGCAACTGACTCTGCGCTGCCACGTCCTGCAACTTTGCTGGGCCGTCTCGGCGGTTCCTTGCACCCGGGGTCCAAACAGAAACCCCAGGATTTCGGGCTTTTAATCCACGGCCTAGGCCCGTCCTGTGATGAAGGCGGCTGGACTGCAGCTTCTCGCACAGCTTAGGAGCCAAAACTAGGTCAGGTCGGCTCAAATTATATTGTTTCTATATTGTGTTTATTTACTTATTATTGTAAGCCACCCCGAGGCTTCGGCGGATGGGGCGGCATAGAAGTCTCCTAAATAAATAAAATAAATAAAAACTATAAAGGATGTGCATGCTTGAGAAGCGGCACTCTGCCCAAGCATTCCTTCGATGGCGGATGCGGCTGCAGGCACGGGCACGTGCGCGGCGCCTGGCTGCCCAGGGAGCCAGTGCGGGCACCTGGGCCGCCCCCGCAATCCCCACGGGGCTGTGGGCGGGGGGAGTTCCTAGCAATGGCTTAGCACCCCGTTGTGGTGACAGGTCTGCTTTGCCTTGGATGAGGACCTCAGATCCCACGGCTTTACGAAGGGCTTGTCCCTAGCGATGAAAGCAGCTAGACCGGGCTTGCCGAGCCGGGGAGCCCCTGCCTCTTGGGGCGTCGGGCCACCAGCGTTTGGCAGCTCCGGGGGCACCCTCCCGCTCCTTCAGGAAATCCGCCCCGACTTCCCCTGAAGCAAACGGCCCACTCTGAAAAGTCACGCAGGAGCTGTGTGGGTGCTGTTCACTTCTCCTGCAAAGGGTGCGATGAATAAATAGTCGGCCGGCCACCCTGTCCTGAGGTGTGAGGGTCCAAAAACCTGACTGGAAGGGGCACAGTGAAACAGCTCTGCATGCCGAACATCTCCAGGTTAAACTCCGGCACCTTCCTCTGCCACCGCGGCCCCTCCTCGTACGCCCCCCTCCCTCGCACCTGCCGCCAGCCCTGCGAGACTGCCCGCAGGGACGGACGGAAAGCCCCGCTCTCGGGGCAGGCCACTGCCTGTGTTCCTGCATGCATGTCTCCACAACCCAAGGGGGCCAGGTTAGGTGGGGGGACGCTCACCCAAAACAGGTCTGGAAGTGCAGAAAGACCGCGCAGGTGGAGGTGCTGGCTGCCCGGGGCCTGCAAGCCCCAGCCAGAGACCGAGGGCCACCAGGAGAGGCCCTGCGAGCCCGGGAGAGTTGGAAAGGGAGCCAGTGCACGTGCCCGAGAGGGGGTGTGGCTGAAGGGGAGAGGCCGGGCTCGGCACTTCCACAGCCTGTGCTCATAAGCCTCCTGGAGCAACATCTGACTCGGAGGCATCTTCCAAAAGGCCAGGGGCAGCGGCACGGAGGTGTCCTGCGTCTCCCCCTCCGTGGTGAAGGAGTGCAGCTCTTCCTGTCCCCCAGCGTGACGGGGTTCCGGGACACCAGAGGGGACGGTCACCTGCTTTCACCAGCTTCTGGAGCTAGAGCAAAGAGGAGCTCTCTGCTGCTCAGAGGTTCTACATTGCTGTTGTCGTCGGGGCTTTTCCTAAGATGCTGCTCGGGGGAGCGACGCTGCCACCTTCGGCGTGCTGGCGGCGCCAGGGCTGGTGGCGACTGCGAGGAGGAGGCTGGGTAACGGCGCTGCCTGCCTTGCAACCCTCCCTGGCTTGCACACGTGCTGCGTTCACTGCAAGCCAAAACAGGCATGTACGCACTGAAAAACCCCATCCCCTGCACAAGAAATGGGTCAGAATCCTGCCAGGGTGGGCCCCCGAGGTCTCCGCCAGCGCCTTGCGCAAACGTAAGAGGGGTTTTGCAACTCTCTGGCTGAGCCGGCAGAGGAACAGAAGCTGTGTGCCCCCCGCCCCGCTCCCCACAAACACACACACAGGAAGTGGCCACAGGCTGCTGGGACGGCTGAGCGACTGCAGGAGCCTGCGGGGAACTTCACCATGCCGGGGCAGCCCCTTTCGGCTCCCAATTCTTCGCTCGCGCAGGTCCCTAAGACATGATGGACACGCATGCCTGACACAAGACAAGGAGATGGAGTGGGGTGGGCCGGAAGAGAGCCCCCAGAAGCGAGACAGAAGAGCCCGTGCCCCTCTCACACACTCAAGCGCCAACCGGGACGAGGCTTTCCCTGGACTGACCTTGACTTAAGCACGTGCTCCTCAGGCGCAGGGCGGGGCAGCACTTGGCTTCTACCGCAATCGCCAGTGGCTCCCATGTAACTAATTGGTTCCGACAGCAGAAGCGTCTCTCCCGGCTTGTGACTGAACAGGACTTCAACAGGACTGCCGGGTGAATGCACTCCAAGCCCTTCAACGGAACAGCCCATTTCTTCTCGGGCCTGAGAATGAGGGCGGGCACCCACTACAGAATGAAGCGCCTCTGCTGGATCTCCCCTTTCAAAGCGCTGCGTCTGTGTGGGGACTAAGCCCCGAGCCCCCCGGGGGCAACAGCTGGGCGCTGCTAGGCAATGGGCCGGGGGGTCTCCTTGAGATGGGTCATCACACACTCCAGCGGTCTGGTCAGCGGACTAAAAATATTCCACGTGTGTAGAATTGTGGCATTTATGGCTAGAGTACCATAGTTATAATGCTTAACCTCAGAAGTCAGGCTATTTGGCTCATGGTAAGTTCTTGACACAGAAGACTATGTTTGACAGGCAAGGCGCTCAAGAGTCACTACAGGGAAAATGCGGGAATGTAATTTGCCGCCACCACCTTCCGAACGGCACACTATTTTCAAGGGAGGTTTGAAATGAACTTCGTTTTAGCCCATTTGATCTTACTCCTTTTCTTTGGAAAAAGCCATTTTATGCCACCTGCTAAACCTCCTTCCCTCTGATGGGGCTGAGGAGCTGCTCCCCGGAAGCACCTCCCTCGCCACGCTCTGCCACAGCTGCCTTTCCCAGCAGCGGCCTCGCTCCGTGCGTCACACGCAAAGTCAGTCCGGGAGAAACCTCGCCCAACGAGTGGCGGTCGTCAGACTTCCATGATGCAGCATGCTTGTGAAGAGCCTCACCTCAGCACAAGACAACACCCCCACCACCGTACGCCTTACCTTTGCCTCCCTCCAGAGAGGCACCAGCCGAAAAGGAAAGGAAAGGAAAGGAAAGGAAAGGAAAGGAAAGGAAAGGAAAGGAAAGAGGGGGGAAGACAACAAGGACGTGTGAAAGGTCACTCCTGGGCAGAATTTTCTTATTTTCCCGAGATGCACTGCTGGGTTGTTCTTTCTGCTTTTATAAGCTGCCCCTAAATTCCTCTAATAGTGGTGTTGCTCTAGAGCAGCTGTTCCCAAATTTTTCTGGTCATGGAACCTTTCTGCAGACATTTTTTTGCATGGAATCCCAACTCTATCCCTGAATTTTACTAAGCACCGTGAACCCCTAACATTCTTCCTTCTTTCTTCTGCTCCTATTGCCCAAATGCTTCGCCTAACGTAGCGGGTTTGGAAATACAGAGAAAGCATTTTAAATACGACCGGCAAATAAAGTGATTATATAGTCCTATCCCATTCCCAACAGAACGCAACAGAGTCCTAGGAACCTAGGAACCAAATGCGTCTCACGTTTCTTTGTTTGCTGCTGGGACACCAACTGACAACCACATAGTTGGTCTCGTGTGGTTTCAGTTTAAAATCTGTTTTAAATTTGATTTTTGAGATTTTTCGTGGAACCCCCACGAGGCTTTTGCAAAACCCTAGTGTTCCACAGGACACAGTTTGAGAACCGCTGCTCTAGAGCGTCTTTACAAGTTACACTGCTGAGCTAGCTCAGAAAAAGGAGATCCACAAGAATCGTTCAGCTGCCAGCTCAAGTTAGTGCAAGGCCGAAGCTACGGCGGGAATGCTTGGCACTTCTCCCCCGGCCCCGGCCCCCACAGCCCTGCCAGCGCCCCCGACCCCTAGCCTGCCGTGCTCAGAAGGGTGCATCTGCCCAGGACTGTGCCTCCCAGGCCACCAGCAGTGGCTTCCTCCACCGCCCCTACTTACTTCTTGCTTTCGAAGGAAGCGATGATGTCCTCAAAGGAGCTTATGCCAAATTCCTCAGGGCAATCAAATGAGAACTCAATGACTGAGCAGCTGCAAAAGGAGAACAGGCGAAGAAGCTAAATGAACCAAGCCACACAGCGAGCGAGGGTGGTGGGAGCGGGGGGGGGGGGTGCCCAGGACTGCCAGCTCCCAAGAGAAGAGGGCTGCAAGTCCCGGAAGCTGGCAGGCACCACTGCTGAAAGGGGCCCTGGCAGGGAACTGGCATCGCAAGAGCAGGCAGTCGTCTTGCATCACCAGGGATGGAGGGGGTGGCCAAGGGGGAGCTCGGTCTTCGAGGGGAGCCCTGGGGGGCAGGCGGGAGAGCGGCATCTCCTGTTCAGCCCTCTTCTTGGGAAACAGGTCTCTGCGTGATGACCCTCCAGTGAAGGAAGGCCTTTTGGTGCCTCCCCACGCCAGTTTTCGACACCCAAGGGGGAAATGGGCTTGTGAAGTTTGGGGAGTCCATGCAGGGCTCCCCCTTCCTCCCCATCCGAGCTGCAAGCAGGTCTGCGGAGGGCCCAGGACCCGTTCGTGCGGAGGGTGGCAAGCTGAGAACGCATTTACGAGCTTGACCGGCACAGGCAGAGACCTGTAGGAGCCAAGGCTGCTCAGCACGAGCACCAACAGTGGGGAAGGAAAGGAGAGGTGGATTTTGGACCTCCTGCAACGCTTCGAGCAGGCAGGCACCACACAGACTTCAGCAGCCCTCAAGCAACTTGTCACGAGTGAAGCCGGCTGGATCTGGGGTCAGACTAGATGGCCGGGGGACCCCTTCTGCCTCGCTCTGTTGCTATGTTTCTCTGAGCAGAGCCGGGTCAGACTACATGGCCTGGGAGACCCCTTCTGACTCGCGCTGTTTCTATCTTGATCTGAGTGGAGCCGGCTGGAGCGGGGGTCAGACTAGATGGCCGGGGGATCCCTTCTGACTCGCTTTCTTTTTGTATGTGTGGAGCTGGCTGGAGCTGGGGTCAGACTACATGGCCTGGGAGGCCCCTTCTGACTCACGCTGTTTCTATCTTGCTCTGAGTGGAGCCGGCTGGAGCAGGGGTCAGACTAGATGGCCAGGGGACCCCTTCTGACTCGCTCTGTTTCTATGTTTCTAACGCAAACAGCGCAGCACTTTTTCTCTTGCCTCTCCTCCTGGGCGGTCCTTATCGTGGGCCTTCCCTCTAGGCAGATGCTGCAGTGCTTTTAACTTTACAGCCATAACTGTTCTTGTAACAACGGGCAGCGTAGGATATTTGAACAGGAAGGCCCAAAGAAAGGCCACGCAGGAGGGAGCACAGCGAAACGCGAGGCGCCACGGTGCCCGTCCTCCTTCCCTGGCGCCCCTTGTCTGGAACGGGACGCAACCAAGGTGCCTCCTACCGGTATGCTCTCTCAGTCACGAAGTTCCCTTGCTGCAGTTCTCCAAGCGGGATCCTGGGTGAGTGTCGCACCACCCCTGAGCGGAAAGAGAAGCAGCCCCCCGTGAGTGCGCCGGGAGGCGCACGCTGGCACCAAAAGCCCCCCGTCCCCAGCCCCACCTCGCCTGTCCGGACCTGAAGCTCGCTGGCTTTTTCCTGGCTTAAAACACACGCTCAAACGGGACCAGGGAGCCCATTTGAGGCTCACACAAACACACCTGCACCTCTCCTTCAGAGCGCATTTCAACAGGGCTTACAAGGACCGGAAGGGCCACAGCCCTGAACTATGCGATTGCAATGCGGCAAATGCGCGTCGGGCCCTGGAACCGCAACCCCACGCCGTGTCCCAGAGGGGAAAGGGGCCTTGGGTTGCTGCCACAGGACACAGCGCATCTCCCTGGATGAGGCTGCCAAAGAGCCTTCCCCACTGGAGCGCCGGAGGGCTTCTCAGCCAGGCCCCACAGAGGCGACTTCCTCCGCGGCACCCACGGCACCACGGCTCGTGCCACGGCGAGCAGGTGCGACTTCACAGCGTTCCAGGAGCCTCTGCTTCCGGCAGCCCCACCGTGGCCACTCTGAAGCCGCGCGCCACTCTGCTGGAGGAGCAATCCGGCGGGCAAAGACAGAGGCAGCAGGGGCATGACAGGGCGGCGGGCCTGGAGTCGCACAGGGTCGAAGGCTGTTGTGTCTCGGGGCACAGCCCCCACAAGTACCCACAAAAATCCCCCTGGCTCCAGCCCCCACGCCTCCAGCAGGCTGTGCAGTGGAAGAGGGGTGAAGCACCCGACTCCCAGGCCATCCCCTCTTTTCCCTGCCTGGTGTGCCAGGGTGACCGCAGGGGACAGGGACTGCCCGGGCGGGGGGGGGGAGTGTCCGGGGTCAGGGTCGGCAGCAGCCCCCCGCCCCCGGCAGAGCTCCGCTGGGTTCCCCCGCGCTCAGGAGCACCTGCTGTCCTCTGCGCGCGCTGCCGACCAGCTTCTGCGAAGACGGCCATGGCCTGGATGGCGGCACGGAGCGTGGCCCACCGGAAAACGGCCACGGGGTCCATCCCAATGAGCTCCCGCACGTAGGCGCTGTCGCTGCTGCGCAGCAAGGCCACGATGTCCGGCCGCATGTAGTCCATGTTCTTCTCCCGGAAGTCCTGCAGGGGAAGAGGGCAAGGGGCCAAAAGGGCCCAGTGAGGGAGCCGGGGAGAATGCGTGCGTGCGGGCCAGGCGCTTCTCCTCGCCTCCGTGCCGGCAGCTCCCTCTCCGTGCGTGCCGGCTACCTGCCCCGGGCACTCCCAGCCGCGAGAGGCGAGGACGGCGCCTCCCTGCTTGCACGCTGCGCCCTCTGTGGGAGCAGACATGCTTGGGCAGTGGCTGGACCACGCTCTGCCCGGACAAGGGCACCTGTCCGGGCTGAGCGGTGGAGCACCTGCGCCAGCGCTCTGGCAGGTCCCGCTGTAGTGCCTCCCGGGCGGGGTGAGTCGGAGGCCCCAGCCTGACGAGGCCGGCTCCCTGGGCAAGCGGGTCCCCCTTCCCCGCAGGGGCCCAATCCAGTACCTGGATCTGGTATTTCACTTTGCCTGCAAAGTGCTGGATGATGAAGGCCGGTTCCAGGACGGGTGTGCCGATGAAGAACCTGTTGTCCTCATGCTGCTGCTTGAACTTGGCGAGGAGCGTCTGGCCGGTGGCGCGCGGGAAGCTGCAGGGAGCGGGGGGGGGGGGGGCTGAGTGCACAACGGAGGCCCTGCGGGCCAGGAGGCGGATGGCCCCCTCAGCACAGGGGCGACCCGGACGCCTCCTGCAGGGAGGAGGCGGCACGGTGGGGAGAGAGGACGGGCAGTTCTCGCTTCGCTCTCCGGAATTCAGCCCCTGCATTCACCACCTTGTTCTCGCTACACGTGTGAACTGCCCGGCAGGCTTGGACAGACAAGGGCAGGAGCGTGGCTGTTAGGAAAAGCCACAGAACTAAGCAGAACGTGTGGCATTCTCCACGCTACCAGATCCACAAGATCCAAGGTCTGTCGATGGGAGAGAGAGACTCTACACCACAGGACCTCAAATCACCGCCTGCGGGACGGATCTGGCCCACCATGCCCATTCATCTGGCCCGCGCAGGCAAGAGGTGGTGGCTTGCTCGCTCGGAGATTGCTTTGGACTCACTGGGAGACGCCTGAGCGAGTGAGCGAGCGAGCCGCCGCCACGCACACCCGACGACACCTCACCGGCCGCGCGCCCAGGCCCCCCTCTCCTCATCGGCCTGCACGGTCGCCACAGCCTTTCAACAGGCCCCCTACTGAAAAAGTTTGAGGACCCTGCTCTACGCCGTCTGTTGACCTGAGGCGAATCGGCGCAAGGGCCCTGTTGCTGCGCGATCCTCTCCAGACCCACCGAGCTGGGGGACAAAGGGGGGCAGGATGGCGAGGAGGACCCCCCTGTCTGCCATCCGGCACTGCCCAGGCAGACACACACAGGTCAGGTGTCCCAGAAGCCCGTGCACACCCAGAGCTTTCCCACAGCACGGACAGCTCTCTCCGCACGGGGACAGAACTGCTGAAAACGAGCCCAGAAGTGGCCGAACGGAACGCAGGACCCCGCCAGAAGCGAAGCTGCGGAAAGGAGGCCCGCCGCACCACCCCCTCTGGGGGAGACTCCGGCGACCGCCCAGGACACCTTCCGCTGAGCAGCCTGCCCCGCAGGCAGGGTGAGGTCATGCAGGTGTCCTGCCCACGCCCCAAAGCAGGTGAGCCGCAGGGGCTCAGCTCGCCCCCCACCACACTCCGGCCTGCACGTGCCCTCTGCTGCGGCCTGGCTAGGAGCAACGCCTTCCGTGGCGCCGTCCCTGCCACCCAACCGCAGTGTCCATTTATGAAGGATGTGTGGCCTCCACTCTTGTTTGCCCCCCTCCTTTCCTCCTCTTGTTCTGCCTCCTCCTTTCCCTTCCCAATCTGTTTTCAGGCGGCTCCTCCCGCCGGCTCTGCCCTCCCACACCGCCGCCGGCCGCGCTCACTTGCTCTCTTCGTCCAGCAGGTAGAAGAGGCCCGTCGGTTTCTTGCTGATCAAATGGATGCAACCCACGTTGTCCGTATAGTCGATGTTGTGCCACGTGATCCCTTCACTCTGATATTCCTCCTATAAACACGCACAGGTATAAAATCACACACAGCACGGAGGGGCGACCTCCCTTTCTTTAGGAAAAAGGCAGGATATAAATCAGAGGCGGCGGGGGGGGAGGAAGGAACTGCTGGAGTGGTATCACTGGCTGACAAGGAGAAAGCCTCGGAAATGAGTGTAGCTAAATTTGACCAGAACTGGGTCACTAATAAAGGAAAATTAAGTCCTGAGCATTCATTGGCTCCTGTTTGCAAGATGCAGCTTCAGGTCAAGATTGCATCAAAATAATTCAATTCAAAATTGCGAAGGGGATGTGCAATTCTGCTCCATAACTTTTCTGCAAAATGCGATATAGCAATGAGAATGGTGCCACACCAATCCTTATAAATTTATCTTTTTATCGATACCCACAACATAACTTTCCATTCATTTATTGGTTTTTCAAGTAACATTTTCATGCTTTTTGCATGAAAAACTGACAAGCTCTAACATCAGATTAAACAACAAGGTTCCATCTTTATTCGGTATCTACACTGAGCTTTTTGGCTTTTCTCTTGTGAACTGCAGCAGGATCATCCCTGGAGCGATTCCAGCAGTAAGTGGCAAGCATGGATGGACTCCATTCCCTCGGTATCTTTCCTCCTTGCCTGCGATATCCCGGTGGAACCTCTCCCCATGCTCATCACTCACTGCCCCACAATTCAAAGGGAAATAGTCTAAACGCAAGTGTGAGATGTGAATTTTCAGAGACAGGTTTGCACCGAGTGCTTTATAGGACCTAAGCAAATTTTCCATGTGTTTTTTCCTAGTCATCTGCCTTGCTGTTCCCAAGAAACTCCACCTACGGTGGGGGGGTTCCCTCCGCACCACTGGGACCGCGAAAGGCGTGGGCTTTTTCCTCTCCTTCAGCCAATGACGCAGATCAGTTGCACATGTAATACAACAAGAATGAGGGGCCCAGCTCTTGTCCTGAGCCCCTACTTTGCACCCAAAATACAGGTGGTCTGCCTTTCCACCACTGCCGTCCTACCGCACTTTTGAGATGCAAATATCACCTCGCCACAAATGCAGCAGAAGATATCTGCGTTGTTTACACAGTTTTGAGGTATCTTGGCCTCTGAGGGAAAATATCACACAACTGTTCCTTGGAAATGTTAGGCAATGACACTTTCACAAGCCACCAGATATAACTGTAATATGTGCAGATCTGACCAAGACAAATGTACCATGCAATAAAAGAAAAATAAATTACAGTTAGGAAATAATCTTTAGTCTTAACATGAAGATAAATTTATACATTTCCATGTGGTACCATTTTCATTGTTCTACTGTACTTTGTCGATCTTCAGACACCTCCCTCCCTTGCAGGCAAATGTACTCGCCTGTATGTAACTCTTTATTGTGAAATATCTGGAAAAGTTGAGCTGATAACAGCACCTTTATCACCTGTTCTCTAATTCATCTCAAGAGGAAGTGAGAGACGGAAGTGAGAGATGGCAGCCCAAGATCAACAGACAAATGGTCAAGGAATTCCTAGGTGGAATAAACACTTTCAAATCTCCAGGCCCGATGAACTCCATCCCAGAGTCATAAAACAGCTAACGGAGGAACTCTCAGAACCACTGGCTATCATCTCCAATAAATCTTAGAAAACTAGAGAAGTGCCAGAAAACTGGAGAAGGGCTAACATTGTTCCTATCTTTGAAAAGGGGAAAGAAGATGAATCTGGGGACTATATACCAATTAGTCTGACATCAATCCCTGGAAAAATTCTGGAGCAAATTCTTTAAAAATCCATCTGCAAGCATCTTGAAGAAAATGCAGTGATTAATACAAGCCAGCATGGATTTATCAAAAATAAATCCTGTCAGACTAATTTAATCTCATTCTTTAACTGGGTAACCTCCCAAATGGACAAAGGAAACACTGTGGACATAATTTACCGAGACTTTACCAACGTGTTCAACATAGTGTCACATGACATTCCGATAAGCAAATTAGCAGACACTGGACTAGATGGAAACACTATTAGGTGGATCCAAAATGGGCTGCTGCATCGGACACAAGGAGTGCTCATCAATGGCTCCTTCTCAGACTGGACGGAGGCAACTGACTAGTGGGTGCCGCAGGGTTCAGCCCTGGGCCCAGTGCTCTTCAGCATCTTTACTGAGGGTTTCGATGAGGAAGTACAAGGAAGAGAATCACCTTTGCTGATGCTACACAAGTGGGAGGAATAGCAAACACCCCAGAAGACAAATGAAGATCCAGGGCGAGATTCATGAACTTGAACGCTGGGCTGAAAGTGACAGAAGGAGATTCAATGGGGACAAGGGCCAAGTCCTCCACCAAGGAAAGAGAAAGCGAAGGCATGGATACAAGATGGGGAATAGGTGGCTCGACAGAACTGACAAAGAAAAAGATCTTGGATTAATTCTGGATGACTGGCTAAACATGAGCCAACGATGTGGTGCAGCCGCCAAAAGGGCAAATGCTATTCTGGGATGCATTAACAGACGTATTACATCCAGATCATGAGAAGTAGTAGTTCCTCCATACTCCTCGCTAGTCAGACCTCACCTGGAGTATGTGTCCAGTTAGGGGCACCAAGATTTAAGAAAGATGCCGGTGAATTAGAAAGGGTCCAGGGCAGGGCAACAAAATTGATGCAGGGTTTGGAAATGTTGCCCTGTGAGGAGGGACTGAGAGAACTTGGCACTTGTCCTTCCTGTTCAGCCTTGAGAAGAGAAGCCTGACAGGGGTCATGACATCCCTCTATAAATCCTTCAAAGGCTATCACAGAGAGGAAGGCCAAGGTATCTTCTCACTGCAGAAAGAATGTAGGACACGGAATAAGCAGGTCAAGTTGCGACAACCCCAGTTCAGGCTGGACATCAGGAAAAGCTTCCTCACGGTCAGAGCGATAGGACAGTGGGACCAGCTGCCTGGAGATGTGGGGGGCTCCCCCACACTGGAGGCATCCAGAAAGAAACTGGGCAGCCCTCTGAGTGTGGTGGTGTAACCTGGTGTCCCGCAACAGCAGGGGGTTGGACTTGATGGCTTTCAGGGCCCCTTCCAACTCTTCTATTCTATGATTTTGTGATCTAATCCAAATATGTAAGAATTTGCACATTCTATCTCGGAGGTCGATAATTTCCCAAAATTTGTAGAGCAGTGATTCAGCTTGCAGAGCAATCCTTCCCAACCGTGGGTCTTCCCGATCGACTGTGTCTTCCTCCTTAACCAGCAGGACCACGAGCCCCGACTCAGCAGCCACGTCGCAGGCAAAGAGCGGCACGTACCTTGTTCTGCCATGCTCTGAACCGCTGGCTCCTCGCCACCGTTTACCTGCCGCCGAGGGCTGGGGAAGGCCTGCCTCCCGCGTGCCTCACCTGCTCGAGCTTGAAAATGTGCTGATTGAAGTAATACTGAAGCTGCTCGTTCGCGTAGTTGATGCAGAACTGCTCGAAACTGTTGGTTTTGAAGTCCTCGAACCCGAAGATGTCCAGCACACCAATGGACAAGCACTGCAGCAGCAGGGGAGGAGGAGCCACGTCAGCCGGACGGGCCACACGCCCCGGGCGCCACGTGGCCTTTGGCTCCCGCAACAGAGCCGCCGCCACACCGCCAGTCCTCCCCCGAAAACCCTCGGCACCGACCGGGCCCGAGGCCCAGATGGAGGCGCACCAGCCGCTTCCTGAAAACCCACCGTGACAGACTCTTCCATATCCTTCTTGTTGAGCAGAGCATGATTGATCCGCAGAACTATCCAGTCAAAGAGCGCGCTGTACAAGGACTTCGCCATGGAGTCGCGAGCCGTGATGGCCTGTGGATCACGGGAGCAAACATGCCACACTGTTTTCTCTCTCCTCCCTGACGATCTTGGGCGGGGATGGGGACTGAGTGCTAGCTGGGAACCACCGATGGATTGGTGGTGGGCCGAAAGGAAGGAGGGCTGGGGAAGGACACGTGGCCTTCCGGGAAGCCCGAGGGGGCTCAGAAGTGGCCCTGGGCCCGAGCTTCCACCCCCCCATGCAATAAGCGCCCTCAGCCCGTCCCACAACCTGAGACAACCCGCCGAGTTGCCCTACTTTCCATGCCCCTTTCAATCATGCCAGCTCAGCACACAGCTGCCTTACCTCACTGAGGCTGTATGGCAGGATGAGCTTGTCGTTCACGGTCACGGTTTTTCTTTTTGTCAGAACTTCTACTAAAATTTCACGTTTCACCTGAGGGTGGCGGGGGTGGGGGGAGAGAATTGCTGAAATGCAAAGCCTGGCAGCAGAGTGGTGCAGGCAGCACAGAAGGCACCCCATCCTCCTCTGAGCCTTGAAGGAGATCCGTTCAGCCGGAGCCCAGGCCGCTACTCTGGGAAGTGGGCAGGGAAGGTCTCTAGAGCAGGGGTCTCAAACTCGCGGCCCGCAGGCCAATTGCCGGGATGGGCGGGGCACAGGGCAGGGGCCCTGCGGCCTTCCAAGCACCAGTGGCGGCGCCCGGGCCGGCCATGGGATGAGCGGCCCCCCACCACCGCGGTGGTGGCATACTTGAAGTGGCCCAGCCTCACCCAGACTCTACTTCCAGCGGCCCCCAGGTAAGGTGAGTTTGAGACCCCTGCTCTAGAGCAAGGAACTGATAGATCAGTGATGGCGAACCTTTTCGACACCGAGTGCCGAAACCACAACCCAAAACCCACTCATTTACCGCAAAGTGCCAACACTGCAATGAAACCTGAATACTGAGGCTTCAGTTTAGAAAAACAACACACAGCCGGTCCAAGCAGATATGTATGGATCCTTGGCAGTGCGCTGACTGGCCATGCGAATGCTTGGACGAGTTGCGGCTCATGAGTCGTGGCTCATGCTGTCATCGACATTCCGCGTGGGCACATGGCCCCCATGTGCGCTGTTATCCGATGCTCGGCGGCTGGGGCGACTTGGCCCTGTGTGCCCACTGCGGCACGCGTGCCATAGGCTCGCCACCACTGTGACGGAGGAGCACAGCTCCCGTGCGCGCGCCTGCGTGTGGGCCTTGCACAGGCTGGCGGGGGCCACTGCGTGAACAGCCTACGGGCCGGAGAAGCCTCCGGCCCACCCAGCCTTGGGACACCCCCAGGACTGCGTATGCGCAAGGCGGGCTACAATACCTTCAGGAGCTCAGAGAGGATGTCCAGCACCTCAGGGGGCCCCACTTCCAGCCCCTCGTCCCGGCCTGCTGCCCTCTTCTTGTAGCTGATATTTCCCAGGTAAAGGATGGCGGACAGCATGGAAAAAATTCTGGAGAAGGACGTTACAGACCAAGTCAGGGCATGGCCCCTTGAGCTGGAGGGCCTCCAGTCAGACGCGTCCACTAGAGAGCGTGCGAGCGGAGACCGGAGGAGAGAGAAACCCCCTTGGGGCAGAACAGGCAGAGAGCAGCACATCTGTAATCATAAACAGGCCGCCCACACGCTTGCTTCCCCCCGCCCACGGCTCCAAAACAGCGAGACTGAGACACCCGCAGCTCGGCATGCACCCAAAGGGTCCCCGTGGGGGTTGTCCTGGGGCTCCTTCACCCAAAAAGCAGATTACTTTCAACTAACGAAAAGGCATCTGCAAATGGAATCCCACAGCAGCGTCTTCAGTTACTAGGCGGACTTTCCCAAACAGCAAGTAACTTTGCAGTTGATGCTGCTGAAAGCCAGGCTGGGGGGGGGGGGGGGGGGGGGGCTTCCTAAACTCACTATTCCACTTTTCCTCAGGGACAGCGTTGATAGTCAACAGTTCACGCTTCCGCAGCAAAGGAGCACGGAGCCGGCAACCCGCGGTAGTGGCCCAAAACACGCCCACAGGCACCATGCCGAGGCCTCGTGCCTGATTCTGGCCTCCTCCCAGCGCGATGGGCTTTTCGCGCGCACGCTGGCCTGCGAAGTGGCCCCGTCCTCCGCGAGGGCGAGTGCTGGCCGGGCGAGAGCGGCCGAACGGCCCCCTTACTGTTTTTTTGTAGCTGGGAGGAAGCCGACCATCTCCATGGCTTGCTTCAGGCGCTCGAAATCGTGCTGCAGGTCTTCGCCGTCCTCAATTTTCAAGTTATGCTGCAAGGCGGAAGAAGAACGCACAGACAGGATGAGCGGAAAGGCATCCTGTGGCACACCAGGGGGCACGCGACCCAGCCCGGCCGGTGCCCGGGGCCCTCCCTTCCCAGCATGGCTGCATCAGCCGCCGTCTCAGCTGTCCTCCTGCGGCGAGGACAAGAGGAGGCAATGCAGCTCACCTGCTGGCAAGACGCGTGCCTCCTCTCCCAGCACGCTCTCCCTCGGCAGCCGCCCACCTGGGCCAGGACTGCAGGCTTGGGCTGCGATCGTCGCAGTGGGCCGAGCTGCGCTCAGTGGAGCTGGCTTCTCAGCGGCCTTGCAGCGAGGCCTGCACCGCAAGCGAGGAGGTTCCCCCTCTTCATTTTCTGTCATGCCTGCCTTCGGGCACGCACCAATTCTCCCAGGGGAGAATTTCGGGTGCTCAGGAACGAGCGAATATTTATGCCTTCTGATCTTGAGTTGGGTACTTCACGGGCCAGCCCCCATCCCGATGGCACCACTTCCGATGGCATCCAAAAAGAAACTGGGCAGCCACCTGAGTGGGACGGTGTGACTTGGTGTCCTGCAACAGCAGGTGGCCTTCTTGGCCCCTTCCAACTCGACTCTTCCACGATCCCCTCTTCCCTGCTGCTCTTGTCCATCCCAGGAGAGGGACGGGCCTCAGGGAAAGGGCCCAGCTTTGGCCAAGACCCGGGGCCCGCACAGGCCAGAGGTTCCCCACCACTGGACTAAACCAACCAGGAACAGTTTGTCTGGGACAATGTTCCCCACCCAGAGCCCACCAGAGGTGCTGCACCACAGCTCCCACAACACACAGGCAGATTACGATGGGGGGAATCGTGGGAGTTATAGCCACACGTCTGGCGGGCGCCCAGCTGGGAAAGACTGCTCAGGACATTGCCCAGGCCAGGGATTCCAGCCTCCTGAACCCAAAGCAGGTCTCCCAAGCCGGCTCGGCCCCGCCAGGCAGATCTGGTTTGCGAATCAGTGACAACGGAGGCCAGGACTCCGGGGAAGCGGGAGAAGCAAGCTGGGAGCAAACCGTCTTTGTGCCGTGGCACACGCCTCCTTCACAAGGAGTCAGGCTTAATATTCCACATAAACTTCCGAACGTGTCACCACCCCTTCCTGAAGGGCATCAGCTGGAACTGTTCACGTCTGAGTTATTTCTGGACAGTTCACTCCTGCTGGCTGTGCTGAGCTCGATGCTTTACCCCGCGGTCCAGCACTGAGCAGAGGTTTGGGCCAGGTGGGACTGGCTCCCAGCTCCGCTGTCCTAGCGTTCTAAGAAAACCGATCCAAAATTTTTAAGAAAAGCAGACATAACAACACCGCTGCCAACACAACAGGAGCCATCATTTGGAGAGAGGCGGAAGCAAGGGCGGCTCGCTGTGTTCCATCAGGCAGACACAGCCATAAAATGCGACCCGCGGCAGGCAACCTTTGGCCTTCTGAGGCCACGGAAGGGTCTCCTCGGAACTCTGAGCGGGAACAAAGGAGGCCTGTCTGGGGATCGTTCCCTCCACAGGGTGTCAGACACGGCAGAGGCTGCGCTTGTCAGCCAAGCTGGCACAGTGGGCCTCTGTGTACCTGGTTGAGGTAGAAATAGTCTTTGGGCTGCATGAGGTGGAACTCCTTCCGCTCTTCCGCACTGACGCCAAGCAGCAAATAGTAGAACACATGGTAATTCCTGGGGGAGGCAACCGACATCAGTGAACGGGAGGCATCTCCCTCCCGCGACTTCCACCCCCCGCTCACCTGGACGCTGCCTGCAAGTTCGCGGGAGAGCCCCCGGCCGAGGCTGGCACGAGACGCACCTGAGCCCTTCCACGCGGAAGCTGCCCTCCCTTCGGCTCTGTGGCTGAGGCCCTGGGTCTGCGCCTGCCACCGATGAGGCCCCTCGGGGGGCGGCAGCAAGAACGTCAGGCTCCCCGAGGGCCCTTCCCCTTCCCTCCGACCAAGGGTGGCGGGCAAAGGTGGGGAATTTTGCAGCCTTTGCACTGGACGCAAATTTTAGGACTGCCACTGTGGCCAATGATGCCTCACAACATCACTGATCTATTGTTCTGAAAGGTACGGACTGCATTGTGAAGTTTATGGGTTGCATTGCTGTGCTTTGGCCTTGTCCTGGACGGGGCAGCACTCCTCTAAAGCACAGGGCCCGCAGCTTGGGGGTACTCCTTGATCCCGGGCTGTCACAGGAGAGCCAGGTGGCAAGGAGCGCTTTCCTCCAGCTTTGGCTGATCCATCAGCTGGATATCTGGATAAACCTGGATAAACACTGCCTGGCAACGGTGATTCATGCTCTGTAACCTCCTGGCTGGATTATTGTAACGCGCTCTCTATGGAGCTGCCCTTGAAAACGGTCCAGATGCTTCAATTGGTACAAAACAGAGCTGCCGGGCTGCCAGCGGGGACCAGCCGTTATTCTTATAAAACGCCAGTCCTCTACCAGCTTCACTGGCTCCCCACTGAAGTCCAGGCCCAATTCAAGGTGCTGCTATTAACCTATAAAGCCCTGAACGGCTTGGGACCGGGACACCTGAAGGGACATCTCTTTCCTTATATGCCCTCATGCCCCTTAAGGTCTGCGGGAGAGGCCCTGCTCCAGGAACCCTCCCTGAAGGAGGTAAAAAGGGCATCTACTCGGAGTAGGGCCTTCTCTGTGGTGGCCCCCAGACTGTGGAATGCACTGCCCGGAGAGGTTCGCCTGGCACTGAGCCTATATTCCTTTCGGCACCAGATTAAACCCTTTTTTTAAATGTCATTTTAAGAATTAAGAGTTTTTAGATTTTTGAACTCAACAGTCAATTTTATTTTATTCACTTTATTATTTTATCCATTGTGATTTATTTTTTCGCGATTGTGATTTATTCTCTTTTGTTTATTGGTTTAATGTTATTCTGTTAATAATGATTGTATTTATCATGATCTATTTATTGCTATTTTATTTATTGATTTATTTAAAACTTTTACAGTGGTACCTTGGCTCACAAACCTAATCCGTTCCAGGACTCTGGTCGGGATCCAAATTGGTCATAACCCAAGTCAAATTTCCCCACAAAGTTCAGTGTAAATAAGGTTAAAAGTGTTCAGAGTGACAAAGAACAACAAAGTAACAAAGAAGCGTACAGTACAGTGGAGAACACTAACTCAGGTAGGGGGAGAGGTTGTTGTTTGGAGGGAGAGTCCAAACGATAATTGTGCGATCGCGATCGTGTTGTGGGGTGGGGGAATGACCGCGATCATAATTGCGATTGTGCAGGAAAGACGGGTGCAATCATGATTGTCACCCAATGTGGAGTTCGTGACCTGAGGCAAATTTTTTCTGAAACTTCTGTTCGCTACCGGATTTGGTCGTGAACTGAGGTGTTTGTGGGCCAAGGTACCACTGTATATGCCGTCCCTTATGCATGGCATCTTAGGATGGCTTACAATCATTAACACAATATGTATTATATTAGGGACTGTATTTTTATTGTTTTGATTTTATACTCTGCAAGCCGTCTTGAGGCATCTGTGAAAAAACAGGATTAAAACGTTTTATTAAATTAAAATTTAATAAAAGAGCATAGGACTGGGACTCAGACATCTGGGTTCGAGTCCCTGCTCAGCCATGGGGCCAACTGGGTGACTTTGGGCCAGTCACAGACTCTCAGCCCAACCCACCTCACAGGGTTGTTGTTGTGGGGAGAAGATGGAGGAGGAGGAGGATATAAGCTGCCTTGAGCCCTTTGAGGAAAAAGGCAGGATATAAATTGAAAAATAAATACAAATTAAATAAAAATGAAAATAAATTTTAAAAATTCTGCCTGCAAGTCACTTTGATTTATTACTGCCTTAGAAAAGCCGGGCATAAACAAACTATTTTATTTTTTATTTATTTAGGATATTTCTAACCCATCCAATCACTTTGCTCTCTGGATGGCTTACAACAGATTCAATAAATACAACAATATAAATATCACAAGTGCCCTGAACAATAATAAAATTAAATAACCCATGACTGAAATAAAAGATAATTAAAATCTATTAAACATTAAAATATTGGGTGAATAAAAACATCTTGACCTGGCGCTGAAAAGCACACAATGATGGCGCCAGGCAGACCTCTCTGGTGTGCGCCTTCCCTAGCAAACTAGACTAAAGCAAAAGCAACCACAGGCTGAATGCAAACCACAAGGTTTGGTGCAGCAACACGTTCTTCTAAAAGTGCTAAGCAACTGCGGTTACGATTAAGCAGCCCAGGTGAAGCAGGAAGGAAGCTGGTGCCCATGCGCCACCACCTCTTACCTTTCATTTTTTTCCCGAGACACCAAACGAGATTTCTCAAGCAGGTACTTTTCGACCACGGCCCTGGAATCCGCCAAAAGGAACAAAACTGAGAACGCAGCAGTGACGTGCCACACATTGAAGCTGGTTCAGCTGCATGAGAAGGGCGGCCAGTGGCTCGGAGCTCCTGTGCAGGAGCACGATGGGCCCCCGCACTCCACAGCCCCCGGACCCCCGCCAGCCGACACCTTCGTGGACGGGCCTGTCCGGGACCCTTCCAGCCTCAAAGGCACATGCTCTGCACTCACCCCCGGACAATGCCGTTCTCCAAATAGTTGACCTGGATGAATTTCCCAAAGCGGCTGGAGTTGTTATTATGGGCTGTCTTTGCATTTCCAAAGGCCTGCAGTGAAGCAAGAACATTTTGTCCTCCTTTCGGCAACGCTGATCCGATACTGACGCACTCTGAGAGGTGGCAGCTTTCTGGGGGCTGAGGGCAGGGGCTGCCCCTCAGCTGAAGGAGGAGATCCTTCAGCTGAGAGGCGTGGAATATGCCCTGATGGGAAGGCCATACTGCACTTCAGGAAAGCTCTCCAAGGCCCTGTTCCAGCTTCGGCGGAAGGCAAATGGGGCCGGGCCAACACGGCAAAAACGCAGGCACATTTAGAGCTCCTCCTGCCCGTCACACTCCACCCTTTCAGAATTGGGGGCGGGCGGGGGGGGGAGTGGAGGAACCACACCATGCACCCAAGCTTTAACCCAGCTGGAAACCTTCTGCAGGCAAAATTCACATTCTCTGGGCAGATTATAAACTATTAAAAATGGATATGTGTTTACACAGCTAAAAATCAGGAAAAAAACAAATATTTAAAAGAATAAAATTAAGTGGAAAGGAATGGACAGCGCAGCAACTGATGAAACATCCACACTGACCCAGAACTAGGTCTCTACAATGCCTGGGAGGAGAAAAGAAGAGACTGGCCGATGCCAGCCAGAGAGCTGAAGCAGTGCCGGGAGCACCTCTCTGGGGAGCCTGTTCCACAAACAGGGCACGTCGCTGCCCAGGTCCTCCCTCGTGTGGCCACCCTCTGGATCCTTTTGACCAGGGCCACCCGGATGAGTGCCTCTGAAGAGGGCCTCGGAGTCTGAGCAGCCACACGGGGGAGAAGCCACGCCAGTAAGTGCCCCGGCCCCAGGCCGCTGGGGTTTCCGTGGCAGCTCACCAGGTTTGGCGCAAAGAGGGACTGAATGCCCGGGCAGCTGCCTCAGCACCGGCTCCACCGGTCCCGTCAGCCCATGCAGGGGACCAGCGAGCAGCCCTGCTCTGCAGGAAGGGAACTGCCCGGCCTGTCCACAGAGGCAGACCCACACAACGGCACGGCCCTCTTCCAGGTGGAGGTTCTCAGAGCAAGGTGGCTGCTGATCTGCTCTGGAGGCAGGAGGACGGATGATCAATGCCCCACTCAGAGGCAGGAAGCTGGGGTAAAAGGCCTCCTTCCGACTCCCGCCCCAAGCACAGACTCACACACTTCGCAGACAACCAGCTGCAAAGCCGACCGCTGAGGAGAGAGCTCGCATAGCGGGGTGGGTGGATGTGGAGGGAGACCAGAAACAGACTGACTCATTCATCTAGCGACACCGAGCCAGTGAGACATCGTTATGACATCAGGAGAATGAACAAGGCCTTTTTAAAAAGGAAGTCAGGCCTTCCCCCCTCCTCGCTAGAAGTGTGCGGATTCAGAGACGTTCCTCCCAGTCCACACGGCCCTCAGGAAAAGAGCAACAAGGCGGCGGCCCTTGCCCCAACGAGCTGGTGGCTCCAGGATGTGACACAACACAACACGTCAGGATGAGCATCTGCCTGTTCCCGAACAACATGCGTGCTGCCCGAGGCTATGTGCATTTCAGGATTTTCAGTTCGTCATGCCGGTCCCTCCCCCCCCCCCCCCCCGCAAAAAAACCAGCAAGAGCCCTGGCCCTCACGACTGCAGCCTGAAAGACGAGGCACACGGGTGGGAGGGCGCACGGGGGGGGGGGGGGGGACGTGCACCGTTCAGCGGGGGGTGCCCTGCCTTCGATGAGGGCTGGCAGAGGAAGAGGCCCGCTGCTCCTGTCCGTGTGGGGTGGCTGCTCCCTTCAAAGAGGGGCAGGTGGGGGACGCACCTCCTTCCCAGCACGAACTGTGGGAAGCAGGTTGGGCTGAAAAGCCGTGGCTAGCCCACAACCACCCGCTGAGTCCCGCAGGCGAGCATGGCTCTGAACCTGTGGCTCCCACGCATGGCCTGCCCCCGAGAGTGACGGGGCAGCAGGTACGGCCGCACCCTCCACGGGCTCTGCAAGTATTACATGCAGCACCTGGCTTTCAAAAATCAAAAGGTACAAGCCAAGCTTTTCAGAGAATACAGCCCAAGGTCCGTTATTCTCTAACACCCATTTCCAAAGTGAATGCTCAGAGAAGGACTGCCAGCCTCTATCGCTTTTTCCCCAAGGAAACGGTTTTCCTGCATTTGTTTGCTTGATTTTTATACCAGCCAATTGCCAGAGTTCTCAGGGAGTTTGCCACACGTTATATGCCACAGAAATGCAACATAAAATACAGGTAACAAGAAAACACTACAAAATGTAAGAGATGAATTTAAGGCCAATTGCAAAGAACTGCAGCAGCTACGAATTGAGAGTTTTAAAGCAGCTGGCCACCAAGCCCTGAGAGGCTGCTGAGGTCTCGCCAGAGGACTGTCCCAACCAGGATTAGCAGCGCTGACCCCCAGCAGGCCTGGCGGGGGGACATCCTCCACAGCAGCAGGGCTGCCGCTGGAAAGGCCCTCCTTGCCCCCAGCTTGTCTGTAGCCACTTGCATGAGGAAGCCTGCGAACGCCTCTGCTCCGCAGGTAGGGAAGGCTTTGGCCACCTTTCCACAGGGCCACTAACGTTTCAATGCGCAGTTCCAACTGCCCACGTGTCCAAGGCCTTCAGTTCTCATGGTTCCCAACAAGGAGCCTTAGACACCATACAGAGGCTCTTGTTGCAGACTGGCATAATTTTAATTATTCTACCCGACACGCTGAGGATACATACATGTTCAGAAAATGCACAGACTGCAAAGAGAGAGGCTCGGTTTAAACATCAATTCACCCAGCCTCGATTTTTCTCTACTTCTTGTCATTTTTTTTTAATTACCCATATAAGCAGTCTGTGATTTGCAAGGGTCAGATGAGCTCATACTTGTGGAATTTCGTCCAAGCAGAGAGCAAATTCTCTACAGCTGATAAAAAAATAAAAATAAATCCAAGCTAGGATGATACAGACTGCTAAACAGCAGCTGGGCTGTTTCATGTAAATCTTACCTTTCAAATCGGGTTGGAAATTGTTCATTTCACTCCATCCTGACTTTTGAATGTTGCTCTTCTGTGGACTAAACAAGCTTCGTCCCGTTCCTCACAAGGGTCAAGGGTTGCCTTAATGAGGGGTCTTCAAAAAGTTTCCGCACTTTTATCTTTTATAAATATATTTTATATACCGGGGGAGCGGGTGCAAAAGTAGGTATGCAGTTATAAGAGTTATACAGAGTTCCTCGCCCTGCACCAAAGGGTGCTTGAGCATAGAAACAACTACGGGAATGTGTAAGTGCTGAAGGCCAGCAATTTGAGCGCTTAAGAGATTGTACTTAATTGCAATTTGTATGCCATCCTTATTGTGCCTTCACAAAGCTATTGTTTTTTCATAAAAAAAACTGTATACCTGCTTACGCACCCCTCCGTATGTATAATTTGCAGATGGCATTAAAAAGCTGCCACGACGCTGGAAAAATGCATTGTGAAGGAAGGGGAGTACATAGAAAAGTGATGCAATTTGTTTTTGAAATTCTTAACAAATCAAGTTTTTAAAAGTGCGGAAACTTTGCGATGGCCCCTCAAAATAATGTAGGGGATGGACCAAGGATCAGTGCCTGCCCCGTACAACCCCAGCAGCATCCAGCAGGGAAGGGGTCTTCGGCAGTGAGGGCTAGGAAGGCCTCCTGGGACCCGCTCCAGTTGAAATAGTACACATGTGCAGAACCGCGGCCCCAGAGGGCCACAGATGGCCTGCCTGGAACCCCTCAGATGGCTTCCCCTTTCCGATGCGTTGTTTCCTGGCCTTTCCCCCATTCTACGGCACTGCCGTCCCTCTCCCATGGCTTTGCAATTGGCGGGAAAGTGACTGTACAGCATTCTGGCCCAGTCAGTCTTCCTTCCGCCTCACCCACTGCTAGAAGGCAGCCCCCACGAATCCTCCACAGGGGATGTGGCTTTGGTCTGAAGGAGGCCTGATGACCCTGAAGCCGGTAATACATGGCTAAACGGACAAGGGGCGGAGAGGTATCTGGCAACTTCCTATGTAGGTGCATTTGAGAGACATCAAAAGGTGAACCTGGGAAATATAGATCAGTTAGTCTGATGCCAATCCCTGGAAAAATTCTGGAGCAAATTATTAAAAAATTCATGTGCAAGCATCTTGAAGAAAATACAATGATTAATGCAAGCCAGCATGAAGTTACCAAAAGTAAATCCTGTCAGAATAATTTAATCTCATTTTTTGACTGGGAAACCTCCCAAATGGGCAGAGGGAACACTGTGGACATAATTTACCGAGACTTTACCAACGTGTTCAACATAGTGTCACGTGACATTCCGATAAGCAAATTAGCAGAAACTGGACTAGATGGAAACACTATTAGGTGGATCCAAAATGGGCTGCT